CCCACGACTGTTTTTGTCTACCTCGGACAACAAGGCACTCGGAGGTCGCGCGCCATATGAGATTCGTAAGAAGACATATCGGCTAGCCGTTAACGCTGGCTAGCTTCAAGTCTACTCTCAATGCCGACCGAAGCTTCCTCGAATCGAATTTCAGGCTGAACAGTGGGTAAACAAAACCTGTTTGCAGGCACAACAAACAAATCCGCCAGAGGTTGAACGCAGGAAGTGCACCAAACAGGAAAAGCGGCAACTTGCAAAAACGGGAATTCCAGGGAGTCCACCGCTTCCCATACATCAAGTTGGTTCATCTCCACGGGCAAATCTCCCTAAAGGGCGTCCCCCCACTCTTCCTAGAGATCCCGCCATTCTTTCACAAAAACCTAAGCCACTGGCTCTAACAATCGCCCACTGATGTCCCTTAAACTCACAGATCACCGAAAAGCCGCCGCTTCCCCTTTTCCCAAAGCAGGCAAGATGCTCCGACCCCCAGACCGATAACGCCCCATTACGAAAAGAAGCAGAAAAAACAAGCCAAACCCCCGGGAGCTCCCCGTACTCGGACCGCAGGAATCCGAAGCGTGCACAGAAGCCAAAACGCATAATCAAGAGCAAGGGGAAGGAGCCGTTTCAAAACGTAACTCCAATGAAAACCCAGACTCAAGATGCCCTTTTATCCTAAAATTCTTGATATTTCTGGTGAACAAGTGCTAAAATGTATGTACACCAACTGTTTAAGCCTTGGTAGTGAGGTACTTGAACTCAGACAAGAGATGAAAGATCTCCGACCACATATTGTAACCCTAACAGAGACATGACTAACACCAAATATCTTAGACGGAGAAGTCAAAGTAGATGGCTATAGACTTTTGAGGAGCGATTCAAACCGAGGCCGCGCCGGTGGTGTAGCTATTTACCTGAGCCAGTTCATTCCTCCAGCCGTCTTAGTCCCTCAGGATCCCATCCACAAGATAGACACTCTATGGGCAAAAATATCCCTCTCCAACAGAGATTCCCTATTATTAAGAGTCATCTGTCGCTCCTCAACCAGCAACCAGACATGGCACAGACTCTTCTAAACCAACTTTGCTCTCTTTGATCTTGTTGTCCCTCTAAACACGTCCATATAACCGGTGACTTCACCGCTTCCGCAATTGACTGGGTTAGGAAAAACTCCAGTGATATCTTCTTTGGTCAGCTCCTTCTAGATCTAATTAGTGATAGAGCATGGCACCAATATGTGCTCTCCTACCAGGTTTCTCCCAGTCTATTCACCTTATATAATCGATTTGGTGATAGCAAACAATCGGCACTAAATTGACGAGGTTTGCACTCTCTGCCCACTTGGCAAGAGTGACCATTCTCTTCTGAGCTTTGACTTCATCGTTTATTGGCCGTCTTATAAGTCAGCACCAAGAACCTTGCGGTCCTTCAAACGGACCAACTTCGCTGTTCGCAGCAAATCTGACTTTTGTTAACCTATCTTCAGAAACAAACGGACTCAATGATCAAATTGAGAACGTACTCCGAACATGCGACTGCTTGTTTGTTCTCAACTGAAAGCCGCTCTCCTCTACCGCGTTCAATACCTCGACTTTTAGATGAATGGAAAGTCCTCTTTGCAAGGTGTAAGCTCACAAACTTGGATTGTGACGCGGATAAATTCAAACATATCCGGAACCTATGCAACAGCAAGATTGGGGAGTTCTTCAACCGGTAATAAAAAGATATCTCGGTCAGGGCAAGAAGAAACTCGTCTTGTCTCTTCAAACGTCTTCGCCATAAAAGGCAACCCAGTTCCTCTACTCTAGTCCTGAAACTTCGTGACAGCTCCTCAACTACCTCACCCGAACAGATAGCGGACATCTTACGAACTCACTTCCAAGATATTTTCAACTTTGCTCCACCTAGTATCTTTCCTTCCCTACAGCCTAAGTCAGATATAGCCCCCATTGAACACTTTATTGTTCAGACCGAAGAAGTACTGAATCTTCTTAAATCACCAAAACCCTTATAGCTCGATGGACCCAGATGAGATCCATCCCAGAATACTCAAAGGGATATCAGCTGTACTAGCCCCACATCACGGGCGCCTGTTCCAGAACTGCCTGGATGAAGGTGAATTCCCTGTTGCCCGGGAATAAAGTAACCATATCATCGATCTACAAAACGGAACCCGGCAACACGCCAGTAGCTACAGCCCTATAAGTCTAACAAGCGTCCCTAGCAAAATGTTTCAACGTCTCATCAAGAGACATATTATTGAACACCTGAGGGAGAACAACCTTCTTTCCTCTTTTCAATACGGCTTCGTTCCTGGCAGATCATAAATCATCAATATACTGTATGTCATGTAAAGTCTAACCCAGGCCTATGATGATGGTGAAATCTCACACCCAATCTTCACAGATTTTGCCAAAGCATTTGCTCGAGTACTGCATTCTCCGTAAGCAGTGGCGTAAAACAAGGTAGCGTATGGATCCCCTTATTATTCCTTATGTATATAAATGACATTTCCAAAGCCATTCATTCCGGGACCTCCTTCCTCTTTGCAGATGACATTAAAGTTATATACTCCTTCCCAACTAAAAAGTTACTAGAGGCCCTGGACGGCATCCAATCAGACCTTCTGGCGCTTGATCTTTGGTGTTCCAGGTGGCAAATGACTTTCTTTGCAAAGAAGTCAAATCTATTAACCTATGGATGCCAAGTGCCTCCAGGTTCCTTGGCCATTAATGGAACCCCTATTGCTCATTCATCTTCTGTTAGTGACCTTGGACTAAATTACTCCTGTACCCGTGCGTTCTTGGAGCATTGCGCTCTGCAAGTAGCCAAGGCCAAACGAACAATAAACCTATTCTTTAGGAGTTTTAGCCTACGCGAGAGCATACTCACCTTATACAAATTCCACACCCGGTCCTTGTTAGAGTTTTCCTCCTTGCATACTCCAGCGTGAGAAAGCTGGATAGAGTAGCCATCGAGAGTGTCCAGCGAAGATTTACCAAACAAACTAAATATTTATCTGCTGCACAGTTTTGTGCATGGGAAAGCCCATTCCACAGACGGAATCCGTTTTGAAATTGATCACCCATATCCTATTCGGAACCAAATTAACGTTCTTCCTATAGTAAACGACAGAACTAATACCAGAAGAACAATTTTCCTAGGAAAGTATTCCCGCCTATGGAATAAACTTCCAGTCGAGATAAGACGAACAACATCTAGCAAAAGATTCAAGAATCAAATTCGCAAACTTATGAATGCAACCAAAATCATCCAACTTCACGACAAACATATCACATCCATAGTGTTTGAAAACGGGCTAGACTATTGAATCCTAACATCCTTAAATAGCTTATTCGACTGTCCTTACACACAATACACTTCCCGAGTCTCAAACCTCGAGAAGTGAAACCAACCTCAGTCGGTGAGTACTTGATAAAAGTAATGTTACCTATCCACAACCAAACCTGTACCCTAATCCCATATATCTATTTGACGATCGTTCCCAATTGACATTCTGACTTAACCTCTCGTCCCACACAGTACAGTTCTTAAACTTAACTCGTCACATTGTAGTTGAATTCTGCTGTGTAGAACGCTCTAGTTCGCTTGATCTCTTTATCTTTTTGACCTGCGTTTTTTGTGCGCACTTTCCTTTTAAATATAAATATAAATATATATACTTTCTGGCACTCACGCTCTCCGCANACCTACAAGGTGTTTTAGGGTTGGATGGCTAGCGTGTAGTCAGTCCCGCATCAAAGCGATCAACGCCCCAATAATATAAATAAAAACCAAACAATCCGTTAACGGTGAAGCCCCGAAGCCCATTGTTCCGTGATCACAGAAGTCCTTGCAGTTGTATCAACATATGAAACAGTATGGCTATAAGCCACCTGTCGCCTGTTCTTGAATTACTGTACTTTCGTTCAGCTCGATTGTAGCTCTGCCTCTGAAATTATGAATCTTTCTTCTTTGCTATTCTTTTTCTGTTCTTTGAACTCATTTCCACACATTTTCTTCCGAGTGGAAATTCACCCTCCAAATTTTCTGTCTTTCCCTTACTTTTCAAAAGACAAACCTTCACAATGAAGCATTACATAACAGATCACCCACAATACTCCATTTTACGACGTTGTCCACTTGTGCTTCGTTTTCAAAGCAAGGCACATTTACGATATTTGATGTACCTTTTTAAAAACTACGTTCCTAAACTGTCGCAACTATTACATTTTGTCTCCATTGTTCATTTTTCACATTGTTGTACATTTTGATCATGCGCATCCGTATGGTTCGCGGGCTTCGCGAAATATATCGCTATTATTATTATTATTAATATAAAAAAGACCTGCCGGACAAAATCCCAGTCCATATTGCTATCTATGCCACCGATGTCACAATCTGCGGGATTGACACATCAGCAGTGCAGGCAGCCATGGTTATCACCAAAGCATGGTTATCAAACTGCATGTTACCGATAAATGATGACAAACGTGTAAGTATGTCCTTTGGCAAGGGCTGCGCACACACCTTAAGTTTGTGTTGCATATCCCAACTTCAGACTGTCAACCAGCGTGAAATCCTTGGCTTATTGTTAACTAACTCTCCATCTTTCTCTTGCCACCACCAAAAAGCCCGAAAAAGGCTTTTGGGGTACTCCACTGTATCAAGCGCTCCTTCCCTCGCTTTGATAAAGCAGACTTTCAACTCTTATATGGTACTTATGTAAGACCGCTATTAGAACACGGAGCCTATATTGCGTGCTCTGNTATCCAAATGGGGCACCAAAAGACAGCAACCAGAACCGGCTCACGAAAGTGCGTGGCTAATGGTTGTAAGAACTGAAACTGAACTAAACACTGATCACATTGCTCTAAATTATCAGTAGCAAGATCTAGCTCAAAACTTCAGGTTTAGTTACATATTTGAAAAAGCAGGCTTTCTCTTTGGTCCATTACCTTCTCGTAGTTCATTATATCAGCGAATTTTCTTGGATCGATATGCAGAGGATACCACTAAGTTTGGTGATTGCAAGTGCGATGTTTTCTGAATTTATTCTTCTGTTTCATTCGTAGGAAACAACAATATGGCTGCCGCCGTTGGACTACTGGTCTTCCAAAACTTTTGGTTTTGGTATCCGTTGACGAATTTCATCAGTCTCGCCCTGACTCCAACAACATTAATTGCTCTCAACAAAGACCTGAAGATGCCGAAGATGCAGTTCCGTTCTAATGCTAAACCATCAGCTTTTGCTTATCCTCAACCACTTCGTAAGTTTAGCCACTACTGGCCTCGTTCGTTATTTGACATGGTCGTAATCTGCTGAGCACTATCAGTTCCGTATAATTTGCTACGGTTTTTCTGTTCCATTGTTGTGGTGATGCCGAGTTCAATTTGCGGTTTAGTTTATGCGGTTTGCGTAGTTAATACCGATAGGCTTCAAAACTATTTTTCAATGTGTCTGGTTGATCATATCTGCACTCGATATCAATACCATAGAAAAAGACCGTTGTCATTCCTGTTCGTTTTATTCTCTATAATTGATTTCTCTATATAGACGGTGAATGTTTGGTTTAACCCATTCAGTTTTCTCACAGACACCGGGCGCCGTTGATGATATTGGGTATCGGTTTCATTCGTTTGTAGATCCTAATTCTCCACGAGGTAAATGCATTTAAGTGCGATGGATATCTTTTGTGATGACCGACAAAAGGGTAACGGTTTGAAATCCCGGCCCGAAGGTTTGCGGCTCGAGTCCTGATAGGAATGCAAAAAGTACGCACTGCTAGTGAGCCCAAAAACAGGACGAAATAGCTGTCCAGTGCTCTTTGTCGGTCATCACAAAGATATCCACCGCATTTATATTTCTCCATATCTTTCCCATTTATACTGTTGTCACGTCCGCATCATGCTTAGAATCTTCTCTGGGTCCTGACAGATGTACCGTGGTACAAGAATTTCTTCAACATAGAAACCAGTTGTGGGCTTAACACGGTAAGACAAACAAAGCTGGCATTGCTCTTGGGGATTCGCAGGGAGACCCTTGGCTTATCCAATATTTTGGGTGTTCAGTTTTCACATAGTCCATTTTGCGAAAAGATCGTCGCCGTAAAAGAGCAGTGAGTAGGATTTACCTGGAAGATGCTTTGAAAGAGAGTGTATCTCGTTGGGTAAACTGGCGACTGCGGTTACTTAATGGCCACTGTGCATTGCTTCGTCGAAGCGCAACATATTCACTCAAGATTGGTAGGAATCGATATCTGACTTCATATTGAATGCTGAGTAGTTCTATTTTGGCAGCAGCGTAATGCCTCGAGGCTGTACAATAATACACATGTGGATTAATTCTCTGTCAGTACGGATGATGCACTTGCCTTTCGTTGGTTAGGTATATCTTCAACACAGCCACCGGTTCAATACCACGCCTAACTTATCGGGGCCTTATGTGGTTCGCCACTCCGATTCCCGGGGCTTAGGTTGTCGGTTTCCACTACTAAAAGCAGCAAGTCCTCGTGACTATGGGGTTCGCCCCGTCTATTATTCATCGCTCTTAAGTGTGTAATAAAAAAAACCGCATCCACTAGACTCCTAAATATCGGGCATTCATAGCAATCTTGTTTTATGAAAGTTGTTGCTGTTCCCCGGTTATTTCACTTTTGTCTGAGGCCAGATTGTGTACCAAGCAAATCATAGTACAATAATCTTTATAAGAAAGAAAAACTTTCCATGATTGGCTTGTGGACTGAATACTGCCAGGTTGCTCAGGCCAAGGCAGGTAAATTTTCTTGAGGAATCCACAACCGGACCCTAGCTAGCCAAAGCCTGATCCGCAAGGCAGCGGTGCGATGTGAAAACCGCAATCCATTGAGAGCCGGTTTCCAGTTCATCAGATCATACACTCTTCGGACGGGGTCAAACGTCCAAGGTGCCCAATACACCTCGATACCCAATTGAGCCGGTAACCATTGCCACAACCGAAAAGGTGTGTATGTGGTACGTACGCCTCCTCTTTATTAATTTGGAATCAGGGTTTTGGCCAACTCCCTTAGATGAACTGCTAGTGGTCCACCAACTTGGTTATAGCCCCGGATGTCGGCTATTCGTCCTCTCAGTTTGGTGTGAAAACACCGCCACGAGAAGGCAGTGAGTAGGGCTTCCTCAGCAGAGGCTATTTGAGACGGTTGGTCGCATGTGAGCATTTTGCGAGGTGCAAGGGAAGGGTGTCCAGCCGCAACCCTAGACACCCCCGACCATACTTAGAATTTCGGAGGCTGCTCGCCGGTTAGCTGTGTTAGACAACTAGTGCACATTTACTCGGGTTTGTAACATGCAGGTAGCTCCATTCGAAATTCATCGATTACTCGCTTTTGATGACGCGTTTTCTTTTCCAGATGCTACTGCGCGGGTTTCCTCCAAGGTGTTGAGTAGCGTGTTTTGCTGTGTATTCCATTTTTGCGTGAGGTTTTTCATCTATTCAATAAACGTATCTGTGAAAACGATTTGATAACATTTCCATATATATAAATAATGTGTTTTATAGAGCCAGAGAAAGAGAAAAAACGAGAAAAAGTAGAAACCGCCGTCCTCAGTATCACAGCCAAACAGCGGAAGAAAGAGGCGGACAAAAAGCATCACAAAGAGCAGCAACAACGCACCAAGGAGGGGGCCAGCAAAGAAGAGAAGATGGAAGTGTAAGTGCCTCTGAAACATAACTGTCCATGCCCTATCTTACTGGAATATCGGTGTTGTAGGTTACTTTGTTCAATGCGTTCAATGATGTCTGACTTGCATCCACAGTGTTGTTCATTTTGTGGTAACCCCTTTTCTAGGGGTAATTCTACCTACTACATTTAATGTGACCCATATAAACCTTTTTATTAAATGCTATATTCTGCATCTGCTGAAGGCCACAAACTTCTACAGTGGTATCAGTGATTATTCGATTCTCGAGAATCGAGAGGTGGTGCAATGCAGAATAAGTTACTGCTCACCGGAATTCATAAAAACTGGATATAAGCACAGTTGTATTGTGCAAATCGCTGAACATCTTGTCGTTATACTAACCATTAGAGACTGTACATTTTTGGAATTAAAGGTTCATCGAGTTCGTAGCATGAGAAAATTCTGTTCTTTTTTACGAGAGTAATTGCTGGTTGAATAAGCCTCATTTGTATGAGATTTTCCTCCTCACCCTGTACTCTGGGTTTGGCTCTGAGAACCATGTAAAGCCGTCGGCTATCGAATGTTTGTCGTTCTCGTTCACATACAGATGAAGGTGTCCTGATGACCATAGAGGTTGCCTTGTTTACTGTTCATAACGAATGTGTGTGAGAGAGACAAAGACAGACAGAGATAGGATGTGAATTCGCGAATTACAGTTTCCTGAAGGTGTGTTCAAATGTCTCCAACCGCGATATTGGTATCCTACATTGTATTTTGCTCTAATTCTATCAAGGTTACTTTTGGAGCAGATATAACATCTTCTTTTAGACCAATATAGTACTTTCATAACAGCAGTTATCCTGTGTCAGTCGCGTTGGGTTTTGTCTTCAAGTGTATCCACCTAAGGATTAATGTGCACATCGTCCGTGCTAATTACGGCTCCATGTGTCAACTGAATGTGAGTTTAGTACACAAGATCATACAATAAACTAGTCTAATTTTAGGTGAATTCAACGCCTCCATCGGTCGAATTTAAGTTTCATCATCTTATTGCTGTGAGCTTATACTCCGTGATTTGCGTGAAATGCGCAAATCCAATGAGAGATGAAACCTTACTGTAAAACTTCTAAAACCTGATCGAATGATTTCGAGATGTTAAGGTGGATCGCATCCACGTATTCGACCGTTATGTTCCGTATACATCATCCACATGATGCCATCGTTGCAATCCTCTAGTTTGTGTATAATGTAGCCTTTCAATACCAACGCTGCTCTTTTGCTATAATTGACGATTGCTCTGAATAGATTCAAACACACAAATTGTGTCTTCAAGCTCCCCTCATGTGTTTATCACGGAAAGGCTAGCTTATAATAAATTTTCTGAAACTCATGAAGATTTGCCCTTTCAGTACGCCTCGTCCTCTATCTCCCCCTTTTTTACTGACAGAGATACCACAGATGCAAATAAAGAAGCTAAACCGACAACTTCGACATCGACCGAATCTAAAGAAGAAAAGGTATAGTGACGTTGCTTACCGTAACTGAATGCCTTGTAAGGCATTAGTAAAATTTCAGGATCACTCTTCCGGATTCTCCGAATCTCAATACTGCTCTCTGCTGTCATCATTATCACCGATTTGCGTGCAAATTAGGTCATACAGAACAATATAAGAGATGCGGTAATCAAATCGCACCCTGTAATTCATATAGTGCTTGTTAAAAAACCTTTTGTGACATCTAATCTACCATATTTCAAGGAAGTGGTGCTGCATATTGCTGGTCTCCAATAAAATACAAGAAGAATAAGACCTGACCCATTCTCTCATACTCGAACCCAGTATGCAGGGACCCTATTTGATTCAGCTTCCTAAGTTGCCCATAATAAAAACATGAATGTAATAACTGGCATATATTATTTTCTTTTTATGTTTACAGGAACCCAACTTCTCTCTGCTCAGCAACCCTGCAAGAGTTATGCGAGCCCAACAACGGGTCATGGCACTTCCTGACGATTGCCGTTACCAGACTCTGAAACCAATCACACAGGTGAATGTTTATCTTCATTTTCTGTACAAATTTATGGGTTTATTATTTGTTTGGCTTGCATTGAAATCGTTTAGTGCGAACTCGCTACTACACTAGACACGGTTTCACATTCCAAGTTGTGGACTCGAGTTGTTCTGCTCCTCATTTAAGCTGTTTCTTAGTTCTTCTTTGACTAACAATGAAATCTACTATTTGTCGCCAAGACCCAAACGAAATGTGGGGTTGATGGATATATTGGCCCGCCGTCCCCAACGAATTGCGGCTGGCATCGTGAATCCCATCGGGGACACACCTGAAAAGGACTCCGCAGATGTGGCGGCAGCTCTATCCCTTCATCCCTTTTGTCCTTTTAACTTTCTTTCTGACTTATCCGGATCCGCTGTTTGATCATAATTGACGATTCTCCCTTTATGCGTCGGCTACTTTGGACGCGCTGTGTCTGGGTGACTTTTTGTTGTATTATTTTGACTAATGTACGACTTAGTCGTGACTGACTGTTTTGTGCCTGATTTACCGCATCTCTTATCGTTAGGTTCTCCACAAGTGATTCAGATTGTGCATTTGGAAAAAAACGAGAAAGCCAAATCTATTTTTTCTCCTGTTGATTTCTGCAATTGTGTAAAATAATGTACACAAGTATCGTGCGTGCTTAATGTTATGCGGTATTTGGATTTGATTAATTTGTACTGTTGCTAGGTTTGCAGATGCAATTAAGTTCTGATTGGATTGGAATAGGCATGTGACACACGATAGTTGGAGGAGATTTGAGGTTCGCAGTCACCTGTTAGAGTTGCGATTTCCTAAAATGGGTCCCTGCCCCCTCCTAATCGTGAGACTCGGTTCAGATCAGTAGAAGCACCTTAACAAATCGCTTACGGTAACAAAACAATGGGCGGTTTTATTCAAACGGTATTAATTATCATCAAACCACCGCCGAGCCCCACGGCGGCCACTTAAATTTCCCTGTTTCTCTGTAGCAGTTGGTAGCACCATAATTGGCCACTTTCTGCCTTATACAACTTGTTCGCACGTTTATGTGTTCAAGAAAATTAGCGAGAAAGATAAACAAATAAAAATTGGACAAACGAGTGACTGTCGCTTGAAGTGTTGTAGAGATTGTTGTACTGTGTTTTGATCGGCACACAGTCTGGTCTCACACACAAGTGAGAAGACATGTTTAATAAGTACGTCGGGTATTACCAAATAGCATCTTAACCACAGAATTCGTTGGATTGAGTTAAATAGATCACTCTTTAAACATGTTCACTCAATTTGCGGCTCGTTTACGCGAAACGGTGCCTCCACTGGTAACTTATGTTCGTTGAACCTCTTCAGAAACTGCTTGGTTGCTCTGTTTATGTAGATCACCAAAAGTAAGCAGAAAGATGTGTTAGTGGTGTACCTCTTTGAACGGCACTGTCATAACATTTTTTAAATTTCATATCTATTTGCTTCTAATCGAATCTATGTACATACACCTGTTTCCATTTTCAATTTTAGGCTGGAATCCTAATGGTCCTAGACAAACGTCCTCAGGAAGCGGAGGTGTTGGTCGAATTAGTTCACGGTCACGGTCCCACCGGTGCTCGTACTGCCACCGCCAGCTCCTCCGGTGGCACAGGTGTAGCCGGTTCATCTGACTTAGTTGCTGGTCTCAGTTCCGGTTCTGCGGATTCAAGAGCTAAACCGGTTCATGCCTCCACTATCGGTGCCTATCTGGATGATGAAGATGACGATGATGATGATGACGACGATGATGCAGAAGGTGAAGAGGAAGAAGAAGAAGGTGAGCAATCAACAGAGGATGAAGAAGAAGAAGAGGAAGAGGAAGAAGGATACTATCAGTCTACTGTTGTAACGATCCAAGACGGTAAACTTAAAACTGACGTGGAGATGGATGACGGTGCGGGGATTTCAGAAGCTAAAAGAAGCAAACGCAAACACGTCACTTCCGGTTCAGGTGGGCGGCGTACTGTAAAGGGTGCTCATACCGAACCGAGCCCACCCAAATCATTCTTGTTTGTGGACGAAGAGGAGGGTAACGCCCCAGCCGAATCCCAACCTTCCCAAGGGACTAGTGCTGCTGGTGGTTCCTCCGGGGCAGCTTCTCACGAGCCGATGGAAGTCGAACCAACTGATCCTAAAAATAAACCCGACAGTGAGTCGAAAGAACCTTCCCCCAAACAACCAAAACCGGATGAAGGTTCAAAGTAACGCTCAAGATATTTGAGGTTGCATATTGTTGACGTTTCGTCCGCCTTTCCGCATTATTTTCTGAACGTCTCTCCACCGGAGTATTGACGGATCGACGCTCGTGATACATTTCCGGTTGAACCGCCCAATATATGACTTGTTCATTACTGTAGATCTTTTCTGTATATTCCAAGGAGGAGCCGTTGGTTGTCAGTATTTGAAAAAAANAAAAAAATAGTTGTGCATTGCTTTTACTGTTTAGTTTTCCCCTTCCAGAATTACTTGAACCGGTATGCGACTTGACTATACACTATCAGCATCCAACTCCCAGTGTTTTACGCTCTATATTGGCTATTCAGCACAAACACCTCTTCCCTCCCAACGAAATTTCATTTAACCGGAAATTTATGCCCCGAGCTAGGTTTTCTCGTGTCTAGGGGCTTCTGGACGGGAAGTCAGTCATAAGGGATTATTCTGAATTGCTATTGCGCCGTTTACCACACCAGAAATGCGCATACCTGACCTGGGTTTGTGTGTTACCCCTTCAGGGTGGAGGTCAACGCATATTGTGGCGGCGAGTCATGAAGAACTTGACGGCGATCATGTTCATTCCAGTCTCATCTTCCAATCTGTCATACGCATTGAGCTGCCTACCAATTGTCGAGGTGCGCTTCATTTTTGTGTTGCACGTTAATGATGAGGTCACTGGTTGAGACGCTGAAATCCTATTCACAGCCCCCCACACCTATTTGAGGCTTTTGAGGTCAATAGTGGGCCTTTATCACTTTCTTTCCAACCGAATACATTTTTTAACGCAACCAAAAGTTGACAAATGACTCCTTTGGTTAGTAAAAGTATAAAGAACCGATGACGAACCGCTTCAAAAACCTGCTGTTGATTTGTAGCACAATGTAACCTAAGTCCCGGCTCAGCAACCGCAGAAGGCCACAATGGGATGTGCAGGAACGTCTACTCGACATACCTGTTTTGTGCTGTAGTTCCAGGTATCAGTATGCTCAGTTGAAATCAATCGAACGATAAGCAGCGCTCAGCACTTTTGTACGGTATGCTCGGAATCCGGCTTTCTGCTTCCGCTCGTCTGTGTTCATATGGCGTTCTTTAGAATGGATTCTGCTTCCATAGAGACAATAGCTGCGCCACCGTTGGGTCGAATGCAGTTGCATGTTTAACTATCATTGAGATGCACCGCAAAAGGTCGGTGTCTCTCGTACGACTAGAGTCGGAGCGTCTCTTAAGTATACACGTATTTCATGTATATATCACTAATAGGTTACTATACTTGTGTAACACCGTTGTCCTCGTCTTCTGTAAAATTTGCGCATAGATGTTTCGTGCACTAATGGGTTTCACAATAGGTCAGCGATGTGACCAGCTTAGGTGATGTGCTTTGTGATCGTTTTGGAATTTCCGAACTCGATGTTTTAATGTACTCCTTGTATCTGGAGGCGAGGCAATTAAGTTGACAGTTTCCAACATTATCATTTTCCCCTTATGTTGGCTGCGGCTAATTTGTATACCATCTGCACTTACCCAATCAAACGTGGACCTGTTTTACGACGTTTCTTCATTTGATCCTAATTTCACCGTCACTCCAGTAGAAACAATCGTCTCGATTGTGTCGTACGAGCATTGTCCGACGTGAGGTGATGTACTTTGAATGATCCCGTCTCACCGGTAGGATTTCTGTCCATGCAACTGGTAGCTGGATGCATCATATTGAGTGGTAGTCATAAATTTGTTCATCCAACCGGTCGTCTAGTGATGCCCTGTTTGATGAGCGAGGAGACAGAGAGGTGTGATTTCCTCGGTGGTTCACTTCTGTTCAATTTCGTGCATGCGCTCTTTAAGGCATTCGCAACTCTTCGTCTGGCTCTTTAACTTTCGCAGGAATAGTGTGAACAAGTTGTGGTTCTGCCTTGTGCTTCCAGAATTCCCTCAAATATCCAGATATAGATGTACAGTTGTAGCAGACGGGCATTTCAGAAATAACAAATCGACTGAAAAGTTAGCGGAGCATTGTCTTGAAGTATTTCACGAGTTTGAGGATAAGCCCAATGGTCTCGGATCTTGGAGAATTGTTAAGTATCGATTGATGGGTAATACCCGAGATGTTGAGAGCATGGCCCGCTACTGTGGGTGACTGAGATGGAGATTCAGATAATTGTAAGGAAGAACATGAAAGGGAGGAGGGGAGGGGATAGGTGCAGTATCTGCATGCAGTGCACAATCATGCACATCTGGATAGTAAATATATTTATACATGCACACGCGTAAAATTTGACACGATGCACGCTTAGAGATACTAAGGAAATCTATGACACAGATTTCCAAAAGGTGTTCTGTTTTTTTGATGTTTTTGCCTCGTTTTTCGTACGCGCAAAACACAACAATAAAACTTATAAATGAATGCAGTTGGGATAAAAGTATGTAAAATCCGAATAGGATGGATGGAGAAGTAAATGAACAGATCGAGAGGGAAAAACTAATATAAATTGGTAGTAATGTGTTCAAGACGAAGAAAGATACAGAGCTTGTATTTGAATATACTCTCTGAAGGGGAGTCGGCTCACTTTACCATCCGGCAACCCCTGAGCACCAATTTTCGTAAATAAAAATCTACTATTCATGAGTAGTATGAACATAATCGCCACTACATGAAAATAGAAAATTGTATAAATTATATAAAAAGCGTATAATCTTGGAAAATAAAGATTAACATGGATATAATTGAGCAACGTGTTGTAACTAATTGTTGCTGTCATTGGTAGATGTTTGTATAAAAAAGTGAATCTCATTGAGTACTGTACCTCATTAAGGTGATCCCATACAACATCCCCAACCCATCCAGTAACGTTTTTCAATCACCTCTTGATACGACTCCAAAGGGTCTCCACATTATTAGAATGAACTCTATTTACGAGGTTGACACACGTTTAGATAACTCAGTGAACACAAAGCTCGATAGCCTGCCGACTACTCGGTGTAAATAGTGGTTCGGGGCTGGAAGCAACGTCGACTAATGGGTGTTGAAACTTCTGCAGACCGGTTCTTCACTCTTTTCTGGTAACCTTTTTCAAGTGACGGTCGTATATTCCGAACATCCAAACCGTGGGTGTTGGCCTGACGCGACCATATTCACCTTACACGGCAACACTTTAATCTATATCCACAACACCAAGGACACCACCGAAATGCGTCGAAAATGAGCACATCACAGTTCAGTCTTCAGGATTGAGGACAGAGGGTAGGGTGCCCGTGTAAGCTCCATCACCACTGGGTCGAAGGTCCGATCACAAGTGTACGTTCCTCCATAGCCCCTTCGGGTGCTCATCCAGGCGTCGTTTGAAAGCAGTATCTCTCTTCTCTTCCACCACAACCGCTGGAAGGGAATTCGAGAGTGTTGTTGACATACGTGAGTATAGTCAGAACGTTCGCCGAACACAGCGTCGTACTGTCGTTCTCGATCTTGGACCAGAAATGATGGCTACCAGTATATATCAATATATGCACAGGACTGCATGGACGTAAGGAAGGTATAGAGGTGTGTGTTTGAGCACGATCGAACGTATTAGTGGCTGGAGGTACAAGTACATCGGGTGGTATGAAGAACGTGACACGCAATCTCGGGCGTGGGTAATCAAGCGCAAGATAAGGCGAATCGTGTCTGTCTTTTTCGTGTTACGAGCTCACATCAATTCTTTCCAGATAAACGTTCAAGTAGCCCCTTATGGATCGTACTAAAGAAAATACCGCTAAGTGAGGCGAGAATTCCGAAGGTTGTCGAAGTGAACTGACCTGACCTGACCTACGCGAGAGTCGGTATACTAACGATCCAGGGAAATCCTATCCCTTTCGCCAATGTGATCAATAATGAAGAATTTTGATTCACGACGGACCACTTTGAAGGGACTTTAGATAGCTAACACTATCTACGATAACCAAACACGATTTACCTCAACGATCGAGTA